CTCCTTCGCTCTCAGACTTTTCTGCTCATGTTTTTTGTGAAGACCCCCCCCCCCATTCGTTTTTCCAGTTTTCCAGTGCTCCCCTCCACAAACAATCTGAAACTTCACAGTGCCAAGGGCAAAATGTCGCTATTCAGCCACCCAAAGGAGGCAGGACAATGAACAGCTGTCCCTGGAAAGACTAAGGAAAGCAGAGGTGCCTTAGAGTGTCCTATAGATGAAGTACCAACAGAGAAACTCCTGTTTCTGTAAGAGTTTCTTCTTGTCCTCTATTAAAAGCAGCTGGCAGCAGCCTCTTTCCAAGGCTGAAGCCCCCAAAGCCCAGGCAGGTGGCTTCCCACAGCACCATGCTGTCCACAGCAGCAAAGGAGCCTTTTGAGCCTATGTCTAGCCCTAGCCTTGTTGTCACACATAGCTACAGCAGAAAATCTTGTTCTCCAATTGCCTTTGGAACACCTCCTACTTGTAGAAGCTCAAGACAGCACAGAAGCTAACTGGGCTTGCATGCTGACTTCTCCTTTTAAGGCTGCATGAAGTTTAATCCCATTTGGACTGCATTGTGTGCACCAAAATAACAAACAGGTAGATCATCATGGTGTTTGTTTTGCACATTTTGTAACCCAGTTGCCTCACACACTTCTCAGATGTACAAGACTCAACAAAGAATTTGCTCAGGAAAAAAAAATAGGGTGAATCATGCTAGTTCTGCATAAACCTGTGCCAACAAGTTTACAAGAATAACATACTTGAAAGCATCCTCTGTTTTCAGTTTGTTACACGTTGTCTTTGACATCTCAAACCCTGTGCCAGTAAATAACACACAAGATAGATGGACATAAGCTGCTGCCTGACATTAATAGCAGCAATCCCATTTATTGCTCACCTGGCTCTCTTTGGGGCCATGAAATGCTTAAGTGGAGGGGAAGAAAAGAGGAAAGACAAAACCAGTGTGCAGGGAGAAAACTGGTGCACAGGGAGAAGCCAACACTGGGTTTTCTACTGACCCCTAAGACCATGTTTCTGCAGCAGCACTGCACTAGTTCCCCCCTGTCACCACTGCCACCAGGGCAATCTTATCCCACCTGCTAAAACCTCACCTCCATGACTGCTTACAGGCTACAGACTCACACCAAGTCTTTCATAGGGCTCTTGTTATTTCCAGCATTACTGTTAGTCCAGCACCCCTCCCTAGCACTTCCAAAGGTACGCAGTGCCAGACACCAGGTCAGTTCTAGCCACGGGTATGCGAGATGTACAGGATCACACCACTCACTGTCTCCTCCTGCTGCTTTCCCAGTTTCAGCCATTGTTTTGAAAAGGCAGGAGTCTCCTAGATGCACACTTTCCAGACAGTCTAATGAGCACCAAAGCCTGGGCAACACCCAGTGCGTTATGCAAAGGCAAAGTGGGGAGAGTGGCCTGTCCATTCCTGGCACTGCCCCACCAGAGGACTCCTGAGTCTTTCCTGAGTGAAGCCCTGTGAGAGCTCTCTGGGCAAGGAAGGAAGGAAAAGAGCAAACATTTATGAAACTTTATTAGAAATAAGTATAATATTCAAAGTATTATTCTATAAGTGGATGAATCAAGAAGAAATTAATATTAGTTTGCTTTGGACCCAGATGCACTAAAGTGCACTAAAATACTGTATTTTTTTAACACTATAATGGTGTCGACAGACATGGTGTATAATTATTTCACATACATATGTGAGCACCATGACCACCATGGGGGCAAAAACCTGAGGAGTTGCACACCCAAGGAAGAAAAAATTGCAACAAAAGGTAAATCTAAAGGACTGCTGATAAGTAGGACATCCCCCTAAATATATAAGGATGAGTGGGAAGACAAGGAACAAGATGAACAGTACCAGGAACAGATTACATCCCCTCCCTTTTTGGGAAAGGGATTAGTAAAGGTGACAAGGGGACCATAAAATCATGCAGCTTAAGCAGTACGTATATTGCTGAATATCCATACATAAAAGCATGCACCACAGCATGGCACTGGGCAAAGGTTTTATAAATACAGGAAATGAACTGAATAACGTAAAGCTTAGTCCTCTAAAACTTCTACAGACAAAATATATCTCACATCCCTTCCCAACCTTCTTCAGATATCAGTCTTTCATTTGAAACTAATACAAATCCAAACACAATTAAACCAAGTCATTAGGCACACTAGAGCCATTTCCAAATTCTTGGGATGTGTAAATGTGTGCTTTATCTCACACTGAGGTGGAATCTTCTGCCAAGTCAAGACTGATGCCTCTTCAGACCTGACTGAGCTACCAAGTAAGATGGTAAGTATGTTCTGCAAGGCATCTGCTTTTTCTGCTGAGAACAGAGAGAGTAAAAATGTTTACAGATATTTGAAAAACTCCTACCCTACTAGCAACATTCCACCAAAATGCAAACATACACATTCTAAACACAGTTTACTTACTTTGGCTAGAACACAGCTTTTATGGAGTATTTTGTTCATTGAAAGAGTTTCTAAGCTGAAAAAAAAAAGCTGTACACAATCCTAAGTAGTTTGAACGCCTTGGTTTTACAGGCTGCAAATGGAAAGGAAATATAACCTCATCCCCACAGATATCTAAATAGTAACAATTTCCAATTATATTCCACAGCCACAAATGCTGTGAAAAATAATCATCATTGCAGCATCACCATTACAGTTAGGAAGGAAAAAAAAAAAAATAAAACCCTTGCATGTAACAGAACAAAAAATTAACAAAAGCAATGGTTTCAGCTTATTGGAGTAGAACCTATTATGTCCATGTCAAGCTCTTTTCTATTTCACATTTAATACTACTCCTGGTTCTATAAAATCACCCTTAGTGACAGAAGAATAAGCTATACAAGCTGAGAGCATTGCTAGCAGAAATACTGCAAAACTGATTGGTGCTCAACCCCATATCTCACAGCGGATATTCTTACCCTAAAAATCTTACTTAAGTGTAGGGTGAAGGTATCTCACCCTGGCATGGGTGAGAGGAAATTTAGGGCTTGGCACACCAGTAGAGCTGCTGCAGGCTGTGCCCCAAGCAATCCCCCATGCAAGTCCTGACACTCCGTGTCAAGCTGCTCCTGACACTGCTTTTTGGAGGCTGCCCAAAAGTGCAACTCATATGGCCTCTCAGAAACTGCTCTGGCTTCAAGACAGAAAGCCATGTAGCCAGGTTAAAAGTTTCCAGAGCCCTCTTTGTTACAGGATGCAAGATCTACATGCCTGGGCATGCATCAGCCCAGACACATTCATCGGGAGGACGTCGGGACACAGACAACAGTCAGACAAAGGCTGGACTTGGAGCATAAACTCAATTGAGACATATTATGCCCACTGAAATAAATAGAGCGTGTCTAAAGGCTTCTCCCAGCTGCATTTGGGCTCACTCGTGGCTGGCTCTTGGTTCAAAGTCAGCGAAGTTTGTGCAGATGCCAAATAACTGTGACTGCACCCTGCATGTCGCTGCCGCAGCACTGGAGCACCAAGCTCACAACGGATTGCTCTTCCTGGTGCTGGCCAGGGAAGGAGTGTATGGATGTGGTGGCAGCTGTGGCACCAACAGGGGACATGTGAACACAGCAACATCCCCAGCCATCCCTGAGCTCTCCCTTTGGCCAGCATCCCGTTGGAGTGCAGAGTCCAGCTCTGCCTGGCACAGTCCTCAGCAGCCCACTCTTCCCTAAGGGTTACTCTACCCAGCTAACACTGAGGTTCATGTACCGTTAATGATACTAAATCAGACACTGAGTTCTTAGATAGGAGTGGGACCACTGTAAAAGTATCAACCTCTGCACTTTTCTTTTTTCATATTTAAAGCATCGTATTTTACCTTTCAGGTATGTGGAATCAAAACTTTAATTGCAATCTAAAATACAGAAATGCTTTGCGCAAGTTGGTATGGAAAACAAACTTCATTAAATTCAGGTTGAGGTGCATATTTATCAATCTTATCCCAGTTTCTTGAAACTAGATTCTCATCCTGTTTAAACAACCCTGAATTCAGTATAAATAAAGATATTCTCACCCTAGCTGGCTTCACTAATTCAGAAATACCAAATTTCTTCATGAATTCAAACAATCAGGGGTTTTAAAACTTAAACATACTTTCCTGATGTTTATCCACAATTTGTTTTTAAAAAATAAAACCAAGTACCTTTATTCTAGAGTTAACCCTCCCCCCCTCAAAATAAAAATCAAAACAAGCAAACAAACTAAAAAGAAACAACAAAAAAACACCAAACCAACATCCTCCTTCTGACCCGTTTTCAGGTCAGGTACTTTAGTTACCATTAGTGAGGTAGATCAAAGTCACTCTCACCAGAGAAACTAGGTCCATTTTTCCCATGCTGACAAAGAGACCAGAAGAGTACCACTGTCTGTAGGGCTTTTATCAGCTCATTCAACCTTTCCCTCTATCATTTCCACCAGCTTTATTTGATCTGAATTTGCAGACCAAAAAGTCCTTACTGACTACTATAGGCAATGCATGACCTGGGCAACATCTCTGCAGCACAGAGGCAAAGGTTCAACAGGCCATTTTTGTTTAGGTTTTCTGATTGCCCTTAAAAGTTACATAAAAGACTTTAAAGGTCTCTGAGAACTCAGAAAAGGATAGCAGGGAAACAAAAGCTCACAGCTATCCTATGGTGTTTCAAGTATGCTTCAGGAAAAAGTAAATACTGAGATTGATTGCATGCAGAGTGTGTATGTTCTCCAACACTCTTAAACTGCATCTTCTTCCTTTTTATTACTGGGTTTTACTAGCACTTGTGATAGGAAAACATGTTAGTTACAAATTATCAAAAGCAAAATGACAAAAGAAATCTTTTAAATGAGGCAAGACAGGCTAACACCAAATGCTCTTTAGAAAAGCATCCTGTGTCAGCATGGGTAGCACATGCTTCTTGTACAAGACAAGCACTCCCATCTCACAGGTCCGTCCATCTCCCATTACCCCGCTTCTGTAATGTAAAGGCACTGACAGATCTTACCGCTGTACAAAAGATGCAGCTGCATTCCTGAAGAGTGGTCATCTTATCCAGGGAATATTCACAGAGACATAGCTTGCAAGTGAGGAGAGGCTCCAGAGCTAACTCTCCAGCTTCTGACTCGTCAGCAGTCATGGTGTGAGGACAAGCCTTCTCAGAGGAGCCCATTCAGTCATTAATGGTGCACTCAGCCTGAAAAGAGAAATTGGCAGCTGAAACATCATGTAAGCCATGCGCTCGCTTCCATTGCTCTGAGAACTTACATCTCAGATCCATAAAAGTACCTGCACACACAAATGTACTACTCAACATCTCGGGGCCAGTCTCTACTTCAGGCCATTCAAGATTTACAAAGAGAGCACACCTCCTCAAAAGACCTGAACTGGCTGGGTTCTCTGAGAACATTCACCTTGCTGGTACAAACTATCTCAGTCAGGCTGCTTAACATCAAAATAAAAAAAAACCAAACAAACACAAAACTCAGAGAGGTGGAGCTATATATATATGTAGGTATGTATGTAAGTATGTATATGTACATATATATGCGTATATACATATATATACACACATATATATGTATATTCACATATATATGTGTATATACATCACTCTGCCTTTTGAAATGAGTTTCAGACTCATACTCTTCCCACCCAAATGGGATCCTTCAGTCTTCATTGCACCCACACAGTTCCAATGAGTGTCTCCACTTTCTATTCCAGTTGGTGGCTTGGAAGCTCCCCTAGGCAGTGCAAGACAAGAACAGACTCCCACTTTCTAGGCAAGTACTTCAAATATTTAGTCTGTAATGTAGGTGGTGGGTCCCATGAACTCCACCTTCTCCATGAGTTGTCACTGAGATATAGTGAGCTGGCACTCTACTCCAAGAGGGGTGGTGGAGGCATCCAAACCCAGGAAAGGGTTTCAGCTTGCATGTGCTACATCACGCAGGGCTGGAGCTTAAAACCAAATGAGTAAGAGCATTTCATGTGCAGTCTTCTTTTTTGCATTGCCTTAATGATGCCAAAAAGTAGCTTTTGTGCACCCTGCTTTCCGGATCTTCTATTTATTTCATAGACCTCTGAGACATTCAACTGATGCTTGTGAACCAAGTGCACTAGCACTTCGACAGAGAGGTGCTCACCAGAGCCAGGTTTTCGCTACACATCACAGCAGTGCTTGGGGATGAAACTTCTCTTCTTTGATGAGCAGCAAATGGAAATGTCATGTTTGCATGTAATGTTTTCTGGCCTCAGCATTTAAAAACTCTGCACCGTAATAATAAAAAATCTCAAGACCCTCATTCTTACACAGTAACACTGAAAAAGGAATTAAAGAGAATACCCTTGTGCTTAAGGTGAAACAATGTAAAGCCTATTTGCAGATCTTACTCACCTCAACACAGACAGTGGGGTTTGCTACAGTATTTAAAGCACAGGAAAATCTATCCCTGTCTCTAAGAAACTTGGCCCAACTTCCATAGACCTCCTTCTGAATATGCTTTGCTGAGAGCAAGACAGCCTTCACCCATATTTTACAAGCAGAGACCTGATGGCCAGCTGTGCACAGCTGCTTGCACCAAGAATGCAGCTCTACTAAATCTGGAGCTGCATCACAAGTGAAGGCTGCACAAACGTGAAACCAATCTAGACCTATCAATGTGCCTGTCAGATCTGACATCTCAGGAGGCAAACCAGAGACTCGAGCCATTTGGTCCTCTTCTGCTGGCCTCCCCTGCAGTCCTGAGCACCCTCTGGGCAGGGCTGTCAGGTCACATTTGGCAGCACGTCCCTGCTGCCATTCTGTGGTTGCCGGAGTGGCCAACGCAGCTGCAGACCATCAATGCATATGTGACGTACTGACTTGCAGAGCCTGCTGAAAACCTCCCTAGGGAGAGAATCAGGGGGCTTATGGAGCTCATGGAACCTTTCCCTGCGGCTCCCATCTCAATGCTGAGGCCCGTCCCCAAAGCCTCATGGGAGCCTGTGCTCCCACAATCTGCAGGAAGACACCTTCTCTTCAAAAGCCACAAAACCACAACAAATCTGGGTCAGAGAACACTTATCCCTTTTTAATTTTTACACTTGGCAGTTTCCTAGCCTAGCCTGTCAGAGAAGCCATCAGATCTGTACCTTGGAATGTCTTTCTTGTAAACACACAGTTTTAACAGATATGAGCATCATAGCCAAGGTTCTGGCATCACAGAATTCCTGACCACAAATCCAAAGCAAACTCTCTTTTTATGGCTTGCTATCATTATTTCATAACATACGCTATTCACACATTTTTCTTGTTCTAGTCCTGGGGCCTGCTACCATGATGCCCCTCAAAATTTTCTCCATACAGCTGCAGAGCTGGAGCGCCAGCAGGGCCAGAAGCCTTAGAAGGAAGCCTCCCTCTGAGTCAGGAACTGCAACAATCTTCTGTAATTACTGCAGCAGGGTGGGGGGAACACTGAGTCACTGGAAACGCTGTGGCAGATCAAGAATTACCTGTTATTTAAACCTATGTGCTAGACGTTATCTCCGTATTTAGGAGAATTGTTACACGTTTACTCAGGTTGCTTTTCAATGACAGCTGCATCTGTACAGATGAGCTATGGACCCTCACTCTGCACTGGTCTGAAATTTCTTCATTTACACAGTAAAAGGTAGCAATGCTAAAAAGATGAATGCACAAAAGAACAGGCAGGAATATTTCAGGATGTGGGAATGGGTATAAAATGGATAAAGCTGTTTCAAAAGTCAGTGTTCTCCTTATAACTAAAAGGGTTATGACCCTGCATGCAGGCAGCATTAAGGCATCTGTAGGAAGATTCAGGTGTATGACTGTTTAGGGCTAGAGGCTAATTTTAGATGGCCTAAATCCAGCACTCAGTGTGACAGTGAAGAGCAGGAGCAGGCTCCTGATAGACTGCTCTGTGCTAGTAGCAACCTAATGCCACGGTGATGGCTGTAGGCACTCATTATGGTGTCCCACTGTCACTGATGATAACACTTGTCCCTGAAGACTGTAGGTTAAATTCAGTTTTGCTCCCTGTCCCTCCACACGTTTGCCCTTCCCTCACACCAGGATGATGGAGCACAGCTGAGGTTCTCCCTAAAACAGGCAGAGTACCCTGTGGAAATCTCCAGCAGACAACACCAAGCAAGCCTGGCACATCAGAGGATCCACCCCCAGACAGCCCACGCTGGCTCATTAACCCCGTTGGAGTTCATCAAACAAAGCAAACTGAGAACTTGGAGACAGCTCCTTGTCCTGCCTGCTCAGCCCTTGAAGGAAACACTGTGGCTACCAGGAAGAGCACTCCTGCCATGGTCCTTGAGAGGCCAGCTTGTCCACAAGCATCCCTCTGGGTCAGGCTGGCACAGGCAAAGCCATCCTGTTAGCGCTGAACACCTGCCTGTCAAAGGGAGAGCAGACACATGGCCTGCTCCTTCTCCCAGAGTGACCCAGCCCACTGGTCCTTGCTCCTGCCCTCACAAATCGGGACTTCTGCTACTGCTGCCAAGGGACACATGCTAGGGGAAGAGCTCAGGGTTATGGAGAAGGGTAGGCCCATTCAACAGCAGCTGGGCTCTGAAATCAGGTCTGCAGGGGAGGTTCATTCTCATCACCACATCAGATGGTAGTAACAATGGAAAAAGAAAGACACATCTTCCTCCAGTTCCCAGCCCCTACTCCTCCTGTTCTTCCCCAACACTTCAAAATGCATTGTCCTCTCTCAAGCTCTCCAACTATCTCCTCAACTTCATCAGCGTGGCAGAAATGACTTTTCTAGGTGCTGCAGCATGCCATCAAGTTCCACCTCAGCTGCTCTGAATTTTTATGGCTTTCACTTTGCTACGCTTATCCCACAGACTGTCATTACTTAATTACACATCCATCAGTCCTCTTTACAGAGGATTAAAATTCCTATTGTAATTACAAGTGAGTTGCCAATAGGTTAGATTGAAAATAAAGCATCTTGGGTCTATGTGTTGGGCAGCAAAAGAGGGAGTCACTTGAAGAATGAGTTAGGAAGAAAAAGACCATTCCATATTTGGTTATATGAACAAAAGTGATCAGAAATTAAAGTAAATAGAAAGTTTCTGAAAAACAATGGACACTCATATAAATACAACACATTGTTAAGCATTTTCATGCTTAAAAACACAAATGGCCTGTTCAGGAAAGCATCCCAAATGAAGCAAGAAATGTGTCACTGAAATTGTAGTGCGGCACCTCAACTCTGCAAAAAAAAAACCCCACTGAACAGCAGCAAGGGCTCCACAGATGTTGTGGAATACAGATAAACACTTCTTGTGGGCATTCTAACCCAGAGAAATATACTGGTGTGAATCCTGCACCAGCGTGAATCGTGGCAAGGAAGGGTCAAACTGGCCCCAGCACGTGCAAACACTCAGGAACTCCGAAGATCCACTTTTTTTGTCTACTTCCATCAGCCACATACACGCACACACACGCAGATCATACTCCTTCCACACTGCACAGGATTTCCAGGAAATTGGACATCTTTCCTCAAATTGTACGCTGCTCTCCTCATAAGAACTCATACTTCCCTGGCTGTGACGCTGACGGTGCTGATGCCACAGGAAAAGGCAGGATCAGAAAGTCTGAACATATGTGAGCGAGTTGCAGAGGGTCAGCCCTGTGGGGGTGTAAGCTGCACAGTCGCCAGGACCACAGCTTGCCAAGCGCTCACACCTGTCAATGTTTCCATTCCACTCATCTGCCTGCGGACACTTCCGCTTTGTCTCTGGGAGGTGACAAAGCTTTGTGCTTTCTTGTAGCACCCGAACATCTCAACACTGCCCGTAAGCAAGAAAACATTAGAGTGTGCTCAAAGCAGAAAGGGCTGAGAGGGGTAAGAACAAGCAGAAACATTAACAACGAAGGCTGGAGATTTTGAGTGAGATACGAGCAACAGAAGGAAAAACACTTCCTCCTGACACCAGTGTCTGACATCTAACCTTGAAAATTACTTCCTAAAAGCACATATCTGCAATGCCTGCTTCTAGACAGCTACCCACTGCCAATCCTGGCATTAAGTGTCCCAAACTGGAAACTACTAAATCCCTGTGATAGAGGTGAGAGAGCAGCCGGGTGGGTGTCTGCGAGACAGCCAAGGTCAACCTACCCCAACTCCACAGAGGTATCAAAAATCGATACAACCTACCGCTGAGACTCCCTGT